CGTCAGCCGTCGAACGCTGCCCGTCATTGTCTTCACTACCACCCGCATACCATCGATATCAGTAAAAGAACCACTACTCCTTGTACCAGATCCAACTACATTTATCAATCCAAGTGTCGATTTTCAGCCAACTACTCAGGCAAGTCTGAGAGACAGCTTTGTCACCGAATAGCCGAAAGCAATCCGGCCTGGCCCTATGAGGAGGATGAAATCCAAAGCTTCAATCGTTACGTCATCGACCGGGGTTCGAAACGACCCAGGACCTCGATTACGCGGCACCTATTTGAAAAGAAAAGAAAACACCTCGTCACTCTAGCCCACTAGCAACCACAAAATTACTAATTTATACTGAGCTTCTGACCGTTCATCTTCACAGACGTGATCTATGCAAACAGCTTGAAAGGATGGTTGCGTGAGTATTGCGTTGCTGATTGACCCCTACTCTCTCCCCCCTTTCCCTTCATTTCTCGTGTGTTGTCCGTTGTGCAATTAGCGATTTCATCTTCGGTCGATGCTAGTTACTTTTTTATTCACTCGATGTAACTATCACCTAGATTGCCGAGTGCACGTATGCAGTGAAATAATAATAATAATAATAATAATGAATACATTAATGAAATCGATATTTCTGACTTCTTCATTGCGATTAACAGACGGGAGAAAAGTGTTCTCAATTCCCTCCAGACGGTGCTTATCCAACTAAACTTCTGTTCTGATATCGTGCCAATAATCATACCCGGCGGCCGGTCCATCAAAATTCGATTTTTGTTTCTGAAGTCGACAGTTACGCACCTGTGTCTTCATACTAGCCCTGTGTTTCTGTGTGTGCTCATCCCGAGCTGTTTGGGCAGCGATTTGAGAGAGCAACACGTGTTTGAATTTTCATTCAAAGTATCATTTCAAAGGGTAAATTCGTCATGTATATGGCAAATGAAGCGTGAACTGGTTGGGTCTCATCCGTGCAGTGTGAATCATTCGACCCAACTAGGGATCGAACCCAGGTTGTGATTTTTTCCAACCGAGTCATTACTCCGGAGGCTGGTGCTGAGATGAGCGAGGTCTGTGGCCTGCAACAAGCTCGCAAACATGGGTTATGCTATATCGTGTGAATGGAGAATACGAAACGGTCTGATAAGCTGCCCCGGGGTGGCCGAGTGGGTGGCATGCTTGCGTTCTGCCTGTGAGGTCCCGGTTTCGATCCCTAGTTAGGTCGATGGACTCGCACTGTACGGATGAGACCCAATCAGGTTGGAATAGCTGCTCAGTGCTTCCTAACTTTTCAGTTCATGCTTCATTTGCTCTATACACGACTAATTCCCATCTGAAATCTAATCAAATCTTCCATTATTCACACGAATTATAGTTATTCGTGTTGACACGAAGATTTGCTTAGGGATGCGGAAAGTGGTGGTAGACAATCAGATTTGGAGAGATGCGCTATGTGATAAATTCGGAATGGAAAATGCTCAAACAATGATGACACTGGGCCAATGCTTGACACGTGTGAGATACACGCACTATTTTTCGAAACGGGTTCGGTAAAAAGATAATCATAACAAAACTTAAAACTTGTCTTAATAACGAACAACAATATTTCCTAATGTAGGCTCACGCAAAACTCTTCTTGTTTTTTCCCCAACTGGCTGTTTTCGCGTTGAACGATCTCGCCAACTGCGTCGGGGATAGAATTCCGAAAGCAAGGAAGAACAAATATTATGGAAAAATGTATTCTGTACCATGCGATAGTGATGAACTTTCAGTTGATGAAACTGTGGTCCGTTTCCATCTGGTCCACACCATACAAGGTCAATACATCTGGGTGCAATTTACCATTCCGACTGACATGCTTCATGCTTCTTTGAAGAACCCGCTTTATTTTTCCGTGTCTGTCGGTAATTATCGCTCCTTTGTTTCTGTTTTGAACCCAACGAGCCTGATGATTTGTCAATATACCGTCGGGATTTCGCGCACACTCCTCCCCTCGTAGCCGTTATTTCATCGTCCCGTTCCTGCACTAGGCCATCGCTCACGTGGTACGTTCAGGCCTTTTTTCGACACGTTGGTCACACGCGCCGTATGGTCTGTGATTTTTATCCGATATACCATAGTCATGGCGAATGGCCCATATCCACCACAGCCCCGGGCATTTGTGTTTGTTCACACATGCCAAGCTGACATTTGGTTGCACGATCAAGGTTCTCGTGTCTCGCTCTCTCTCATTTGTGTGTGTGTATGCATGTTTGAACCAGAGTGGTGGAACAACCGAGCGAGCAGAGCGTATGGAGATGCTCACGTGACCATGTTCTCTTTCGCGCCGGTTTGTCTATCGCATCGGGTCCGTGATTTGCGTTCACATTCCGGCTTTGTCCGGATGTGGGGCTACACGTGGTGGTGCAATGCTGGGTGGGACGTACAATCCGTTCCGTATGTTGTTGACCCCGTTAAAGGACAATGTGGATTTTCCCGGGCCTCGTGCACATTTTGCCCAAAGCTTGCGCAGTCCAGTCACTCACATGCCGGCCTGACTGTTTTGGCGAGTCCATGTAGATGCGTAATACGCAACCCTAGTGAGTCGTTTGATCCGGTGTTGCTGGTGTATGCATCAAGGCGAGCAACAGAGATCGTGCGAGGCAGTATCACCGAGCGATATTGGTCTGATCTTTGAAAGAATGAAAACTAAATAAATAAATGTCTTTTTACTTCTTTTTTTATTTATTGATTATACAAATGTCCAGTAAACATTCAGGAAGGGGTGGGGGGACGCGGCCATACAAAGGCTACCTAGAAAAACGGGCGGCGGTGGAGCGGTTCAAACCCGGGACTCCTATTTCACAAGTTGTTGACCTAACCACTTAGCCACCACCAACCTAAACTGGCATATATATAATAAAAGTAATTTTTTGCATTGTTCGAGTGTTTTTGTAGCGTATACATTTCGCATGTTCAAAGTGTAAACTACAGCTATACGATTGGGTTGATCCAGCTTCTAATTCCGCTCAAGCAGCGAACTCCTTGGAGAACTTGGGCAACTTTGTCCATTTGAACAGCCGTTTCTCACCTGACCGACCGATCCCGGATGAATTTTCCGCACGCATCAAAATTCTCAGTTGGCGTTAACCAGCTTCTTATGAAGTTTCAGCACCGCCACGTCTATAGACGGTCAAGTCTGTGATTCGGCAATTCTGCTATATATATAAACACGGTCGTAGCGGGAACTTTACCATCGGTTTCTGATGCAGTTGTTTACACCGCGTTACAAACGTCGTTGTGAGATCGGATGAAGAATTTCCGGGAGTGCACAGATTGCCGTGACTGTAGAATGTGTGTCACGTGTGACTTGGCTCCAAACACACATCGAGGCGGGTATTGAGTGGAGATGTCCAGAACTGGTCGAATTCATACGCCTAATGAGAGTACGAAAACCTTGACGAGCGCTGTCATGCGCGTTGATCACTATCCCATTAAACTTCAAGTCAGAGACCTCACCCCGATCGAAACTGAATGATATGACTAAATACTTTTAAAAGAATAGATGTGAGAGGAAAGTGGATCGGTATTTATTGAAGTCCGAAAGGTGAGAATGGGAAAAATCGCGGCATACTTCTAAGGGGTTGGAAATGAGGACATTTCGAGGAAAAATTGAAAAGATTACGTAAGATAGGAGCCAGTCTGGGGAGCACACAGTTTGGGGACGATGGTTGGAATATCGTCCGAACCGGGTGCTTTGTTGGCATTTTGGAGAGCGCAAAGTCTGGCTAGTGCTAATATGAGGTAAAACCCGGTTACTAGTGGGTTTGGGCGAAGGTGGAGTTGGCGGCCAACAGGAATGCAAAAACCTCAGCTTCCTCGTATGGCTGACATACACGATCATCCGAGGAATTACAGATGATAAGNGAGTGGGGAAATTGCTGTGGCAAGTGACTCAAATGGTCAACTATCGGTTTCGGACGAGACCGAGTTTTCGGCTGTTCAACGATTGACTCCAAATTGTAAACAATGCATTTCGTTCATGCAAACACATTTTCGGCGCTCTCCATTTATCCCGCGAGCTGTATCTTGGTGCTGATATTGCTCTCTCTCTCTCTCAGTTGTTACTTCTCCAACTGACTTAAGCCCGTTAATTGGCTTTTCACTCTCTTAACTGCTGGCCTATGAACCTCATACCCGCACTTTCCTCATTGTGGCAGTGGTCACCGGCTCGAGCGGGCAACTTGGACGTTTGACCCCGTCCAAATGGCATATGATCCGATGAACTGGACACCGGGCCCCAGTCGACTGCGGTTTTCGCACATCGCCCCGCGCTGCCTTGCGGATCAGGCTTTGGATAGCCCGAAATTTCCGATCGTGAATTCCCCAAAAGAATGGATCTGCCTTGGCCTGAACAAGCTGGCAGTATTCCATCCATAAATAGATCACAGAACTTGCTTTTTTTAAAGGCTTTTGTACCGTGATTTGTTAGGCACACAACCCAGGTTCAAACCTGTGTGCGAAATACACGCTCTTACTGTTCACATGTGAAGGCTGTGCGTAGGATTTTTCCCCGTAGAAGAAGATTCAATTCATGCTTGGATTTTTTAGGGCCAGAACGAAAGTGCACCGTCTCACGCGGGAAAAAACCGGTAGTTTTTGCGGACTTAGGCCCGGTTATGTGGTGGTGATTCTGGTGCTGTTACGGAATGTTCTGTGAATTTGTTGAACTGAATGTCTTTTTGACTTGTTTTGTTTCAAATTAATACATCTGAATTTAGTAGCTCTCTGTTAGTTTGAGCTTACTCGAATCGATTCACTTTGACAAAGGGGGGTGGGTGGAATCTCTTTACTACTTAGAATCACAGAATTATGTAACGTTGGTTACCGTTTCTTTCAAACACTTGCCCTGTACATATCAGCCGTGCACTCGAAATCTATCAGAAACCGGTTTCCCGTTGCCGAAACACTCACGTTCACCCACTGGAACGCACGCAGATGAAGCTTCTCAAGTTTTATTCGATTTTCGGTCTATGCGAACCAGTCGAGACAATTCCGTATGGCGCTCGGAACCATCTAGTGGCGGCTTTTCCTGTGTGCGCAACACTTCGCGACAGTCAGTGAATGAATCCCCGATTCGGGGCGCTTGGTTGCACCACAGTCATACGACACGTCTTTCTTCGTCCGGTCAATCGGTCTGCGCTGGTTTGAGACTGGCAGAGGGACGCATACCGGATCCGAAATCGAATCAATCCAGACAGGAACTGGGCAAATCTTCTCAATCGGAATCCCATTCCGGTCATGGTTATCATATGCCACGCAGTGCTTCAGCAACTACTGTCTCTGCAATGACCGTCTGTGGTTCACGTGCCAGACCAGTTGGTTCGGATACATCCTGGCCCACAGAAACAACGACTAACGAAGAATGGCAAAAGCCAGAGTCCGCCAGATCGTTTGCTTCTCAACTGGCCACAAGTAATGCGAATCCCCTATTGTTCCACAAAGATGACCTCGAGTCTTCCTCATCCAGTGGCATGCCTTGGTGGTTAGGCTCACAGCAACTATCAGTCACAGGCGATACTCGACGTCCAGAAGCTACTTCGTGGAACAACTTAAATCTGAAACCCGATCCATCATCTATGAACAGATTGTCACAGGCGACCGCTGTGACAACCACTCTGTCCAGTGTGACCAAACTGGTTCGTTTTTCATCTCGTGATACTCGATTTATCGCCACTTGATGTTCACACCGTTCCATGGTCATCATTATTCAAATTTGTCCACTAACGGCTTGGGGAGACGCGAACGCAAGAACTTGAAACAATGATTTCCCCGAATTCATTCAGAGAAATCATTGTTTCAAGTTTTTCCGTTCGTATCATTATTCCTTTCTACCTCCACCCCACCCGTCCTTCGCCCCCACATAAATATAATTCGACTCCGATTTTTTTTGGCCGTGTAGCACAACTAGCTATGTGTGATCTGATCTGCCTGATCACCAAAACACAACCACTTAAGGTCTATGCGAAGTGAACCAAAGAAACAACTGGTCACAGCAAGGAAACAATTTTCGCAAAACCGCGAACTGTTTCAACAAAACTTGCGCACGTTTCATTTTTTTTTTTTGATTTTGTCTCCACTGTTACCCTCACCCAATAGGAACAGCCAGCCAATTTGTGGACTATCTGTGAATAAAGTGAGCTCGGACTGTGATCGAATGAACAGACCGCTACGATGCTCCAGGATGTCGTGGGGTTTTTGTTTAATAAGCATTCAGCTAGCTAAAAATATGACCTCAAGTCCGAAGGTCGAACGCGGTTAGGGTCACCTGTTCTCCTTTGGGTCTCCTGATCGATTATTTCTGATCCATGACTTTTCCTCTAGTAGCACACAATGGTTCAAAAATGTGACAGTAAAGTATGCACACACAAAACAGCTTCTCATCTCACCCACTACTACTAAGCTGGGGCATATCGATCGATATTTGTTTATCAGCATTTCNCATAAAATGCCGGCCCCGGCCGAGGCAATTCATCGTTAATGATGACAATTCGGACATAGTACGGCCCTAAATGACGACAATATAATCCGCAATCGAACTGAAACATGCGTTATACGACATCTAAAAAACGGCATGCGTTTATTCTGGTCACATAATCACACCTAGGTACTTGTTAGTGAATTATCTGCACCCAGGTTGGACCACATTTTCTGATTCCGCTTTTTTGTCCGTGAATTTCAACAATTTATTTTCAATTGTCGCATCTTTACCCCTAGTTCTCTGCAATATTCGTTCAACCGTAAGCACTATCAACGCCGCTTTTAAACTGCTAACTAATATCTCGAATAGAATGGGCTCGTTCATCAGATTGTCTTCCATTTTTTAATGCGAATAAATCAAAATCCACAGATTTCGTCCCGAGAAGTTCGGCAGGGGTTTTTTGCACACATCACAACTGGTCAGCGTGCTGATTCTGCATCTGGCATACCGATGTGACCTAGGTCCATGTGACACTGATCATGTGATCACGCCACGAGCAGTGACCTTGAAATGGCCCTCGGTTCGATGTCAGATGAGTCGACAGAAGTCTGTGTCGATCATGGCGCACGGGAACAGACATCCTGGTATCAAGAATCGATGCCTTTCGTGAAACGTAATGCAGCACGTATAACATAACTAAACAATTTAACAAATCCAGGTCTAAAGTAACACGTTAGTTGGAGCGGAGAGAGAGAGAGAGTGGAGAGCTGATAGCAGAAACGATGAATGAGACGAAGTGAACGCAAGCGAAACGTTCACAGTAACGGTTCTCTGGATCAACTGCGAGAATCGGCCGAGATGTATAAGTCTAACGAAGTCAAATCCTCAAAAATGATTATGTTAGTGCATGCAGTTGTGGCGATGCTGCAAAAACTTGGGGGGGGGGGAGAGGTTCAGTAGTTTGAAAGGAAAACAATGAGCTGGTTTCTGCGACGCCGGTGATTTTTCTTGATATTTTCTGTCACAGAGGATCGTTTCATGAAATTTCTTTTAAAGTTTTGCACTCAGTTATGGCGTATATTATCAAACCAACGGTAGCGATGGTACCTTTGGTTGTGACTATGTTGCCAAAAGCCTGTGGAAGTGTGATTGTGACAATTTTGTAGTTCCGTTCATAGTTTCATTTTGAACTACGATATGCCCTATTGGGTCTTGTAATTGTTTGTTCCGACCGGATGTGGTTTTCAATTGAGTAATACTAAATTGGAACTATTTGAAACGAAACGAGGGCTCGCACAATTTTGTCGTTCCTCCACTTCGTGCATAAGGTGAATACTTGATTTTCCTCTGTCTGATGCGCATCACGGATACGGAGTGTCTCTCTCTCTCTAGTAATACAATGCAGCGGATTTGCTAAATCGCAATCCTAAACTGCACCAGTCTTTCGGACACAGTTGGAGAGTTATCTATTTGTGTTTGATCGTAGCATAAGGCCATTACATGATGCTGCGTGCTTTCACTAGGTAAAAGCCAACGTTATCAGATATAGCGGCTGGACATAAATAATAATAACACGTTCAGGCATAAGTTAAACTTCAATCCAGTCCCCTTCGGGGACTTGTAAGGCCTGTCTATCGTAAATTAACTCCTTACGCTGTATACGAACTGAAATGTGGCTTTTCGAACAATATGTGCGAGCCTGTCCCTATTGTTGTGTGTGTGTGTGTGTGTGTGTGTGTGTGTGTGCGGGGGTGGGGTGGGGCTAAGCAAGGAACGGTAGAATGATCTTTTTCACTTAGATTGAACACAGGATTGGTAATAATTAAATAACTAAATTTATTCATGGATTATGATGATAAATTTCACAAATAAATAGTGCAGGATTCTTTGTTAACAATATTTCCCATACAGAGTACAGTAAGTACCCCTTATACATTCGTGTCATGTTTTTCCTTCACTTGTGCCTTTCCCTTTAACCGTATATAGCCTCAATTTCTGGATCTAGACACCAGAACCTTGTCCAATCGAGTTTGGAACCCCGGTGATAATCGAGCGCTGTTTGACGACAAGCCACCACCACCACGACGTCGATGCAATGCACCTTTAAATTTGGATCTGAGTGGGATTTCTCAACCGGATCAATCCACGCGTCCCGGCGGATCGCACCTAGGTCTAGTCACTGAATCACACTTGGCCGGGGTAAGCTGTGTCACCTCATCTTCATCTGGACAGGCATCACTACCGCCATCCAGATCTCAGACACGAGAGGACGCGTTCCGTCCCCATCCGGGATTTCCGTTAGCTATTCATCCATCCATGGGCTCCCATCCTGCCGTCGCTCCCCCGCCCATTCTCGGTAACAACCAGTATTCTCCAGTCACTCCGGCGCCTGGCAGTGCGACACTGATTAACGAGCAAAAAATGGAACAACCGATGGCTTTTACTTTTCCACCCGCAGAACCTTTTCATACCACTAACAATACATCCTATTCGGTCGATCCACACGGACCGTCGTCCATGAAGATCACCACGGAATATTGTACAAGTCCACCGGCTCGTCTTCCGTCCGTGCTCGAGTCGACTGGCATGTCAAACAAGGGAATGAACACCACAGAACGGGAAGCCTGCCTGAAGCATAGCAATTCGTCCGGTAAACTGGAACCGTTTCTCACTCGTTGGCATTCGGATTCCAGTCGACCGGTGTCTGCGCACGGGTCCAGTTCCGGTTACGTGAATCTCAGCCTGAATCAACAACAGCAANCAACAACAGCAATCATCAGCATCACATCTGTACAATCAAGAAGGGCAGCATGTACAACAACAACAGCAACAACCACAGTTCAACACGAGCTGTACCCTATTTAGTAAGTGCTACTTCTGTTTCTCCATTTATCTTGTCTGTGCTAAATCTTTTATTTTGCTTCCTTTTGATCAACCTTCGGACTCACGTCAAACATTGCGCTGCCTCTTTTCTGGCACGTTACTATCAACTGTTCTATCCTGATTGTATTTATTATTTATTTGTATTTTCATATATGTCTGAATCCAGACTGCGCCAAGCAAATCATGGTACAATAGTGCGTATAAAAAAAGAGACATTCCATGATTTGCATGTGGGCGGAATACTGCCAGATTGCCCCGGGCCAAGGTGAATTTTCTTGAGGAATCCACAACCGGAGCTTTTGGCTAGCCAAAAGTTGACCCGCAAGGCAACACGAATTGTTTAGAAAATCGCAATCCATTGGTGGCCGGTGTCCACTTCATCGGATCATAGGCCCTTCGGGTGGGGTTAAACGTCCAAGGTGCCCATTTGAGCCGGTGGCCACCGTCACAACCGGGAAGGTATGGGTGTAGTTCGTACGCCTCTTGACTGGTTTGCAATCAGGGTTTGTGACCATTT